GTTTTTTGTGGGGGCGGTGGGGGATTTGTGTGTATGTATTTATTTGTTCTTAGGCTTTTGGGTTTTTTTTTTTTTTTTTTAAGATTTATTTTATATATACAAGTATTTTGTCTGCATACCGGGAGAGTACATTGATTGGATCCCATGGGACTATAGTTATGGATGGTTATGAGCTGTTCTGTGGATGCCGGGAATCGAACCCATGACCTCTGAACCTCTTAACCACTGAGCACTCTCCAGCCCCATTTTTTTTTTTTTTAAAGATTTATTTATTTACTATATATACAGTCTTCTGTTTGCATGCATTTTGTCTGCATGCCAGAAGAGGGCATCATTTCTCATTATAGGTGGTTGTGTGAGCTACCATGTGGTTGCTGGGAATTGAACTCAGGATCTCTGGAAGAACAGTCAGTGCTCTTAGCCTCTGAGCCATCTCTCCAGGTCCAGTCCCCCCCCTTTTATTTTTGAGATTTATATTATTTGTTTTCATATATCTGTGTAGAAGTATGTACACATGCATGCAGATGTCTGCCAAGGCCAGAAGAGAGCTTCTGATCCTGTGTTAGAGTTATAGGCAACTGTGAACCTCCTAGTGTAGGTACTGGCACTGGGAGCCTCTGCAAAAGTGGCAAGCGCTCTCTCCCACCCACCCACTGAGAAAGCGCTCTCTCCAGCCTGCTTTTGATTTTTTGAGATGAGGTGTTGCCATGTAGCCCAGACTGACTGGGAACTTGGTGGCAATTCTTCCTCATCCTCCCAAGTGCTAGAATTACAGGTGTGTCCCACCATGTCCAGCCCACATCTTTGTGTGTGTATGCGCAGTATACATGTGGTGACTCTCCTGTGCATGCGGGTTTGGAGGCCAGAGGTGACTTTATTTATCAATCTCCACATCTTCACCTCATTTTGGGGGGTGGAGGGTGCAGGGGGAACATATATATATTTATTTATATATATATTTATTTGCATGTCCTGGAACTGAAGGTGTATGCCACCCTGCCAAGTTATTATTTCACTTTTTTATGTGTACAGGTGTTTTGTCAGTGTGTGTGTTTGTACGTTGTTTGCACACCTATTGTCTGTTGAGACCAGAAGAGACCATAGATCCCCTGGGGACTGGACATATAGATAGTCAGAACCTGTCATGTGCTGTGAATTTAACCTGGGCACTCAGGAAGAGCAGCCCGTGCTTTTAATAGCCCCTCTTCTGCCTTCTGCATGTAGTACACATAGATACATGCAGGCAAAACATGTAAAAAAATTTTTTTAAAATAATGAAGTGGGATGTTTGAGACCCTTCTTGCTCTTTTTCCTCCTCCAGAAAGATCTTTTCCCATCACACTCCTGGCTTCCCCCATAGCTCTCTTCCACACTGAGGGCAAGGGCATTGGCAGCCGGTAGAACTATGCTTTACTCGCCTGGGGTTGGACACTCCTTTACCTCCCAAAGGACCATCCAGTGCAGACAGCACCCCTCATCCCAGGGGTCTCTTTCTGCCTTTGCTATTCTTCAGGACAAGAGGCCTGTGTCATTTTCACTTGTGTTTTGAGATGTGTAGGCTGAATTCCTTCTAGATTTGTTCTGCCTTATCAAGTCTTTTGCCTTATCTGTAAGTGAAGTTGGGACCCCCTAGGAAGAACCAGAATTCCATCCTGCCTCAGCCTCCACGCACTGGGATCATACGCATGGTGTCATTGGCCATGCCCAGTGTTCACATTGTATAGTCCAGTGGAGCATGTGATAGTCGGGTTTGGAAGTTGATCTTTTTTTTTTCTTTACATGGAGTTGGACCCAGAAAAAGGAATCCATTTCACTTACCAGGCACAGTGCCATCTTCTGTTACCAAAGACCTCTGTAGGAGAGGCATGGCACACCCAGACAACCCCAGCTGCCCAGAGAGTATTTATGTCCCCCTTTGCCCCAGTCTACTCAGAACAGTTTCAGGGCTTCAGTGTTTATTGTCCTAGTCATAGGGTTGATAACACCATCAAGGATCTGGACATCTTAGTTTAAAAAAAAAAATGATAATTTGATCCTTATTTGAGATGGAATCTGCAAGCTGATGCTTCCCTGTGTGACCCAGCAATGTAGGCCTGTGTGGCCCTGGAGGAGAGTCCTGTTTTCCTTGGAGACTGATCTGTGGGAGAGTTGTTCCTGGGACCAGTTTCTTACAACGAGCCTGGGAGCAAATGGATTGGGAAGCTGTGCTGAGAGCCAGTGGGCTGACTCCATACCTGGTTCAAGGTCTTCTCCAGCTGCTGGCAGAATGGTCTCCCTTCCCCTTCCTGTCCCAAGCACTCTGCAGACAGCCAGCTCCACGGCACCAGAGCTGCTTGCTTTGTCCTTTGTCATTCTGTGGCCTTCCAGGAGCCCCTTAGCTTTCATAGAGCCGTCCTGCTCAGCTGGTGTGGCAGTTTTCGAGTTTGCAGTGCCGTGATGTGGCTTAGGGAGATGACAGGATCATCTCTAAAGGCTTTTCCGGTGGCTCATCCTAGGGACAGGTGTTACTTTCAAGAAACAATAAGATGGGGACAGAGGCCTGTTTACTTAGGTGGCTCCTCATGTCCTCTCGAAGGGTTCTTTCCACCTTGCTCCATGTGCAGGTACTGGGCAGATGGTTTTTCCTGTGACCCTAGAGAAGGAAGCTCAGAGTAGCTCACCTCTCTCTGTGTCCTTTGACCCTTGCAGGGATAGGAAAGTGAGAATCCACACGAGGAATTTTTTCCCCTGTAAAAGTCATGAATTTGAAAACAGCACACCCAGACTTGTGAGCCAAACCTTGACTGTGGCTTGTCCCTGTCTTAGCTGAGGCCAGTGATCTTTGCTGCCCCAGGTATGTTCCTACATATATAAAACTTGGCTCTTTCCTCCACTCGGGCAGGTGCTGGGCTTAAATCCTGTTTGGAAGTGTTTAAACCTCACATGCTAAAAATGTATTAAGATCGGGAAGCTGGAATCAGCAGTAGGGAACTTAATAGATAGAGGGCTCAGGACTGGAGAGATGGCTCCAGCTGGCAAACATCTATAGCTCTAGCTGCTAGGGATCTTGAGGGGCACTGCACAGGGCCCCACACATACTCAGTCACTTCTTCACACTCACAAAGAGGCTGCCCTGTATGACACTGCATTTGCCCTTGAAATGACACTGGATTAGGGTTAGTTCCTAGAATTAATAGTGTTCACACAGGAGCTGTGTTTGCTATAGTCTGTGTCTGTCAGGAGCGTTCTAATTACTGTTCTGTATGTTGTCTGTGCATTGACTCGTCTCATGGGGCACAGCTGTATTCCAGCTGGGGCAAAAGGTTTTCCGGCCTTTCCAGGTGCTCCAGAGACTTGACAGTGCTTCCCAAACACAGTATATTGTGTTGCCCAAAATGAGGGGCAGTGTTGGTACTTGAATCTAGTAGAATTTTGTATTGTTTGTAAGAGATACAAATTAGGAAAGGAACCTTCTAGAAAACTCTGTTAAAGAAAAGTTGGCCTGATTGTATGACTCAACCAGTGGATTGAATACCAAGATCACTTCAAGACTGTGAGCTGTTCAGTTTGCTAAACAATAATTCTTCCCATAGGCAATAGGTAGGTGAATGGTGAGGCTTTAGATGACGTGGATGGAGCTGGCCAGTTTGAACTGCCCTCTCCCTTGTAGAGCACAGCCATTCTCGAGACATTTGCACCCTGGGTGCTGAGCAAAGCACAGGAATTGTCACTGTGGCTGTGGTTTGGAATGTGGCCTTTGAACTCCTTTTCCCCCAGCCTCCACTTCCCTAGTGCTGAGATTGTGGGTGTGTGCCAAGACACCAGCTCTCTTGTGTCTTAGAAACGGGATCTCCCCAGTCTGGGCACCAGACTTTGGGAGCTGTTCCTCACTGTGGAGGCTGCACTAAATTGCAGGACACTTGGCAGTCTCTACCCAGTAGCAGCCCCCACTTCATCCCCACCATAGTCTTGACCTTGCCAGGTGCCCCTCAGGCAAAATCACCTGTGGCTGAGCACCCTCTCAGGGAAACACTTGCTGAGTTCATAGTCCCTTCCCCTCCTTGAGCTGATGCTTAGAGAGTGGGACACACACAGAGCCTAGAGGTTGAGCCTTAGCTCAGTGCCTGCCCCCTCCCCACTTCACATGCAGGGTTCTAGAATCCCTGGTGCTAGACAAAAGGACTCCCCAGGCTGAGGTCCTAATGTGTGGGATGATGGTCTCACCTATTCATCCTCCTGCTCACTCTTACCTTTTTCTACAATGTTGGCTTTGTGGTAATCAGGTTTTGTGAGAAATCTTTCCTCTGTTTCACCCTCAGATTCCCTGGGTCCACTTTGGAGACAGCCAGTAGGCTTCTCTCTTACCCCCCTTTCCCTAAGTGCTGGCCACAGAGAGCTCCTGTCAGTGTCAGTGCAAACTAGGTTATGAGCTAGTTGACGAGTGTGGCGGGAGGGGCTGTAAAAGGGAGCCGCAACCCCAGGAGCAGGTGCTCAAAGCACCGCGGGAGTCAGAGAGGACTACAAGGGAGAGGAGGCCTCTAGGTCACGCAGGGTAAACGGAATGTGCAGGGCCTGAGGGTGCTGCAGACAAGTGGGGCAACTCCCTGGGCCCTGGGGACCAGCAGTTCAGTCCTGTTGTAGGAACAGTAGAGATGTGGGAGAGGCAGAGTTGTGGTCCTTGGAGCAGCTGAGTGGTGGTGGGGGGGGGCATGACATGGGTAGATAAGTGTTGAGAAAGTTGGAATGGTTGGAGTGACTCTGAAGGACAGAACAGGAGATGGGTTGGAGCCTATGCCAAGAACCCAGCCTAATGGTGAGGTTCAGAACTATTGTGGTCATGGGACTAAGGGAAGATGGATCTGCAGAGGGAACCATGTCCCCAAACCTCAGGTCTAGTTGGAGGACACAGCCATGCCCCTGGCTAGAGAGAGGACATTGCCCTTAGCTTGGAAAAATAGAGGCTTAACATTTTATTTGAGAGAGATTTTTTTTCCACTTTTATATACATTTTTTTCCTCTAGGAAATAGACAGACGGTTGGAAAAAAAACTGAAGATCACACAAAAGGAGAGGTAAGGCTGGTGTCTGGCGTGAGGATTCATGCTCTCTGCCGCTGGAGAGCCGGGCAGGCAGTGTTCCTTAGCTGGCTGGTAGCCTTAGAAGGTTAGGCTCCTGGGCAGCTAGCTCTTCCCTCCCAGTAGACCAGGACACCGGATTGAGGCTTTGGGATGAGTCTAGGTGTTACACCTGCCCCCAGCCTCCCGAGGGCCCTGTGTGAGGTCATCTCATTGAAAGAGGGAAGGTGACAAGTTGCAAGATTAGGGTATAGGTGTGATTGTGCCCCAGTGGCTCTGGGGTGTGGGGTGAGTTGCTTCTCCCTCTGGACGTTGGTGTCTTGTAATGAAGAGTTTGGACACATGATGTCTGTGACCTTGGTGACGTGCAGTTTAGGGTATCTTGAAAGATTCTAGCTAGGAAACTCTTGTGAGGCCTTTAAGAAGTGCTTTTTCATATCCATACAGCATGGGAAGTGGGTTTCAGAGTGGGTGACTCTGGGCTTAGATAACCCAGGGACAAGCAACAGAGTAGGACTGGCTACATCTGCTCCCCCAGGGGATTCTGGGAGGCCCCTGCCCCACACTGGCTTTCCAGACTCCCAGATGTTGTGATCAGACTGCTGGATCTTTTGCTCTTCCCAGGAGCTACTCCCTATGGTCACAGGCCCCTTTCCATGCTACCTTCACCCGCCCAGGACCCTTCCACCCACCCTTCCTGACAGCCCAGGCTCTGGCAAAGGTCTCAGTGGTTTTGAGTACAAGCTGGTTGACAGGGCTGGGGTGGCCCTGGTGGCCGGTGTGAATGGTCACCCTGCCTTGCTCCCATTCTCGACTGTGGCTTCTGCTCCCTCCTGCCCGGTGTTGTTGGCCTCTTTGTGTTTGGGGAATGTCACCTCTGCTGTGGCCACCTGGCGTGGATGTGCACGTCCACTAACCTTGGACAATGCTTCTCTTTTGAGCACTGCCAAACACTGTTTCTAGGATCGGCCTTCGCCCTAGCCCCGCCGCTGCCCAGCAGAGCAGAGAGCCCTAGTAAGGGAGATTTCTCTGTTCAAAGGCTGGTGTGGAAGTGACTCGCTTGTCTGGTGCAGCCTGTCTGAGAGGCACAGGTCATTGGCCAGAAGGCAGAGAGAGTTTGGTAAATCCTGTCTTGCTTGTTGCCAGATAGGGTGGCATAGCGGGTGTCTGTGTATTGTCTTATTTTGAGCACATGCTGTGGGAGACCTGGGCAGAGGGGTTCCCAGATCACCAGCCTTTCCTACTCTGGTCTGTGTAGGGAAGCTGGGGTGTTCATCAAAGTCATTGAATTTTGGGTGTGGAATGTTTTGGTCTCAAGGGCCAAACGGTGCTTGGTTGGGCCTGTGATGCACACGGAGAGGAAGTCCCAGGGCACAAAGTGGTGAGCTGGCCCCTGCAGAGGTAGCGCTGTGGAGCAGTCTCTGTGCCCTGCAGAGCTGGTGGCAAGGCTGCTGTCCTGCTTGAGGTGTGGGAGCGCAATTGTCTGCTCAAGGGCCAGGGGAGTACTTAGTAGTAGGGAGGAGACAGTGAAGAGGAGAGTGTGGGACTTGGTGGGCCTTCTGGTCATTGTGGGATTTGTGAAGCTATATTTGCTCTTTGTCAGCAGGAAATCCAAATCTCCTCCCAAAGTGCCCATTGTGATTCAAGACGATAGCCTTCCCACGGGGCCCCCTCCACAGATCCGCATCCTCAAGAGGCCCACCAGCAACGGTGTGGTCAGCAGCCCCAACTCTACCAGCAGGCCAGCCCTTCCTGTCAAGTCCCTAGCCCAGCGGGAGGCAGAGTACGCAGAGGCCCGGAGACGGATCCTGGGCAGTGCCAGCCCCGAGGAGGAGCAGGAGAAACCCATCCTTGACAGGTGAGTGGCTGCCAGCAGTGGCAGGGCAGTGGGAGGGACAGATAGAATGTGCCCCCCACCAGCCTGCTCTGTACCTTTATGTGGGTTCTGGGAATCGAACTGAGATCCTCAGCTTGAGAGGCAAGCACTATACTAACAAAGCTCTTCCAGCCCGTCTGGTATTAAGTGTGGTTGACTGATGGGCCGCCTCCACAGTGTATAGGTGCCAGGAGGCAAGCTGCACAGAGAGGAAAGAATGGGCTTTGACTCAAACTACGTCAGCCATACACCTTACAGCTACTTAACCTGATGTCTAAGAAGTAGGTCCATGGTCACACCTGTCTTGCCAGCCAGCCATTGGGCACGTGCTTACCAGTGAGCAAATGGCCATAAGGTGCTGAGCTCTGCCCAGGACCCCAGGAAAAAAAGCCCAGTGGGTGGTGCTTGGGTCTCCAGCAGCCCCAAGTGAGTTTTTGCTGAAATGTAATATTTTCACTAATTTTTTACATTTTAGATTTGTATTATGTGTATTACTTTCTGATAACATAATATTTGTTAAAACTGCCTTTGGAGCTGGGCGGTGGTGGTGCACGCCTTTAATCCCAGCACCGGGGAGGCAGAGGCAGACAGATCTCTGTGAGTTCGAGGCCAGCCTGGTCTATAGAATCAGTTCAAGGGAAAACAAAAAACAAAACAAAACAAAACAAAACAAAAAAAAAAAAAAAACACACCCAGAAGTCCAAAATAAAGCAAAACCTGCTTTAGGAGGTTGGAGACATAGCTCAGTCCAGAAGTGCTCTAGCATGAGCATGTGGGACCTGAGTTTGGATCCCAGAGCCCACATTAAAGCTGGGGACAGGCTGCTGAGGTAGCTTAGCTGAGAGTAAGGGCGCTTGCTGCCAAGTCTGACTGCCTGAGTTCAGTCCCTGGAACCCTCATGGTGGAGGGAAAACCAGACCCAACAGATTAACAGATTGACCTCTGACCTCCATTCTCAGACTTTGGGGTGCTCATGTACACTTGTGTACATACACAGTAAGTTTAAGTGTGGTGACATTTTGTTTGTTCTTACAAATAAAGCTTGCCTGAAGATCAAAGTGCAAAGCTAGCCACACTGGTTAGCCTTAGAGGCCAGGCAGTGGTGGCTCACACCTTAATCCCAGCACAAGTGAGACTGAGGCAGATGGATCTCAGTTAGTTTAAGGCCACCCTGAGCTACGTGAAATTGATCCAGTCTAAAAAAGAAACAGTTCACACAAAGGTGATCCCAGCACTTGGGATCCCAGGCCTTTAATCCCAGCAGTAGTGAGGTGGAGACAGGAAGGGATATGGCTGGGTGGAGAGAGGAATGTAAGGCAGGAGGAGACAGGAGCTCGGATGCAGTCTGAGGACAGGATTGCCCTTTGGTCTGAGCATTGGTAGAGGTGAGAACTCTCTGGTAGCTGGCTGTTTTGCTTCTCTGATCTTCAGTATTAACTCCAATATCTGACTCTGGGTTTTTCTTATTAAGACCAATTAGAGCTCATACTAGATTTAAGATTTTTGTAAAAAGAAAACATGGTTGAAGATTGAGGCAGGTTCTCATGTAGCTCGGACTAGCATTGAAGTCACTACTGCAGAAGGGACGACCTTGAATGCTGACCCTTCTGACTCTTCCTCCTGACTGTTGGGATTGCAGGCGTGTACCACCTCGCCTGGCTTACATAGAACTGGGATCAAGCGTAGGACTTCATACATGCTATGTATGACACATGTCCAGCCCATAGTTTTGTTTGAGACAGTTCCACCCTGCAGCCTCGGCTGGCCTGGTCTGGCCGTCCTGCTGTCTCTCCCCAGTGTTGGGGACTGCACTGTTGGCGTCAGGACTGCAGGCAGGCAGCCTGGGAGCTTGGCCCCAGTCCTCCACCCTGAGACCATCTTTGACTTGCTATTCTGGACTTGGACAGTTGATTGAGTTCTTTGTCTGTCCCTTCTTGATGCTGCTTTAGTTTGCCTTGTGGCTTTTTGAAACCAGGTTCTCTCACATGCTAGCGTAGAATTCAGTAGCCAGCCAGCCTTGCACCTAGGGTGGTCCTCCTGCCTCCCTGGCACTGTTACAGGCGGGTGCCACCATGTCCAGTGCTGTCGTCGTTTTGAAGGAACATCCATTCTGTTTTCTCCTCTTAGTCTGCACCTGTCTGGAGTGGGAAAAGTCCATTTCCTTCTGTCTTCTCTAGTACTAGGAGTCAGCAGCTAGCCTCGTGGTTTGGAGGGAAGCAGGAGGCAGACAGGTGGGTGCCAGCTCGCTCCTAAGCGCATAGCTAGGGGCCCAACACTGGTGGTTCTGCAGAAGATATGCTGCCCATGGCCACTCCTCCCTCCATGGGATGGGGTGTACACACTCCCTCTGTCTACAGATAAGTAATGGCAAATGACAGCAGTGGGGGGGCCAATGCTGGAATTGCTAGAAGTTAGCATAGACTGTGGACCACTACCTCCTTCCCACAGGGAGCTTCCAAAGTGGAAAATGTCCCCAGTCTGCTTGCCAGAGAAGTAGGTTCAGCTCAGTACCTCCACTTGGCTGGTAACCCCAACCACAGCCATGGGTTGATTTTAAAGTTCAGGGACATCAGGCTGGGAGGTGGCTCAGTTGGTATTAGTGCTGCAGCACAAGCATGAGGACCCTAGTTCAAATCCCCAGTGCCCACATAAAAGCCACGCAAAGCCACAAGTGACTGTAACCTCACTCAGTGTGGGGCAGAGGGGTATGGAGGAGTTAGATGGATCCCTGAAGCTCATTGGCCAGCCAACCTAGTCAGCTGGTGAGTTCCAAATTCAGTGAAACCCCGTCTTGGAAAATAAAAATGGAGAGCAGTAGAGGTTACCTAATGGTCTTTGGCAATACATAATGCACCTGTGGACTTGTCCCTACACTCAACAGACAACACACACAAAAGAATGATTTGGGCATCTCTTATATCCTAAAGGCTTTCCTTTTATCTTCCCTTAGGCCAACCAGGATCTCCCAACCCGAAGACAGCAGGCAGCCCAGTAATGTGATCAGACAGCCTTTGGGTCCTGATGGGTCACAAGGCTTCAAACAACGCAGATAAATGCAGGCAAGAAAGGATGCCGCTGCCACCACAGCCACCACCACCGCCTCCTGGATTGTCTGCCATGGGTTGCACTGCCGTGGCAGACATCTGGACTTGAGCAGAGGGAACGACCTGACTTACTTGCACTGTGATCCCCCTTGCTCCGCCCACTGTGACCTTGAACCCCATGCACTGTGACCTCTGCCTCCCCCCCCTTCCCACTGTGATTGGCATATTGACAAGGGCTGTCCCAAGTCAATAGAAAGGGAAAGGGTGGGGATTAGGGGAGGGTTGGGGGAACCTACCAAGGACTCAGAGTAGAGGGTCAGACAGTGCCACTTGGCTACTTGGGGTAAAGCCAGTGCCAGCAATAAGTTTATCATGCTCGTTAATTTGGGATTTCAAAACACAAATGAGAACTGCCCCCACCCACCCCAAGTGCATGTCGCCATCACTTAAAAGTAAGTTCCATTGAAAATATCCTTTCCTTTTTTTTTCTTCCTATTTTTGTTTGTTTATACAAATATCTGATTTGCAAGAAAAAGTGCATGGAAGGGGTTTTAGCAGTTTAATGAATTTTTAATTGAGAAAGGGTAGCTTGGTAGTCACTTAAAGATGTTTCTAGGAAATTTGCTAGAAGCATTAACCAATAGGATTTTGGTGAGCTTAGCTTCTGTATCCTACTGCTGCCCAGAAAAGGCGGGGCTCCGGAGCCCCCAGTAGATGAGCACTGTGCCTATGTCACCTTCCTCCAGCCAAGCCCCAGCTAAGTTGCCTAGAGACAGCTCAGAGAGCCTGGGGGAGGGTGCCAACCCCAGCTCTAGTATTGTGGGAAATGGGGAAAGTGACCAACTTACCCTTCCCACACCCCTCAGGGTGGCTCCCTGTCAGCCAGGTTTGCTGCTCCTAGAGGTGGATAGGACGAGGAGTATTGGGGAGGAGACTGCTGTGGGCTCAGGGCAGGCAGAGGTGGTACTTGTCCACTGTTTGCCTCAGCACAAGCCCAGGAGAGTCTGGCTCAGAACTCCAGGCCTCTGCTGGCATGGTCAGAGGTAGACAGACTGGAACGCTAAAGGACCTGTGGCGTGCCACAGCTGTTGATTGCCCTGGCTCAGAAACTACCTGGTACGTTTCCTGGGTCAAATGAGTACCATAGGAAGAGAACAGTTAGAGAAGAGTTGGGAAAAGAAACACTTTGCATTGCAGACGCAGGTGGTTGATAGGTTTCTCAGAGGCCTCTTCTGCCCTTTCCCTTCTTGTCAGAACGAGGCTGGTATGAAGGCCCATTTCTGTCCCTGAGCCTGGAGATTTGCTTTGGCTCCTGGTGGGGAGAGGCTTGAAAGGGCAGCTGTGTCCCATTGGGGGCTCCCAGGCTTCCTAGTCTTTCCCGTGCATTTTGCCTTATCCCTCAGCCAGCCGGATGGCCTCCTCTCTCCTGGCCAGCACACAGGGTGCTGTGGTGGTGTGGGATTAGGGCAGCTATGGTGGCCAAGGTGGTGAGCTGAGTTTTTGCAGAATCCCACCGCCTTCGGTTCCCTGGCTTATGCCCTGTAGCAGTGGCCCACAACATTGATAACACAGCCCTAGACCTGCCCGAAGCCAGGGGCCTTCTCTTCTGTAATCGAGCTGCAGCAGAGCCTCAGCAACAGGGTTGGCCACCCCCAGGAGGGAGCAGGAAGGCAGTTGGCTGCTAGCTCATAGTCTAGGGCCCATCCACAGGGGCTAGTGGTTTCTGGTTGGAGGGCAGACTGCTTTCTGTGGAGAAGAGTGCAGAAACCCTGCTTGCCCCACCCTCTCTAGTGGGAGCTAAGGACAGCTGGTGTCTGCTTTTTGCGAGCTTGCAGGAGTTGGCTCTCCCATCTCACTTTGGCCAAAGAAGGCCCTGCCCACAGCGCACTTGGCGCCAGCCCACCAGCAGTCTTGCATTTGGCCTCCTAGATGGAGAGGTGGCTGGTACAACGAGAGAAAGACGGAAAGAAAGGAAGAAAGGAAAACAGACTGGTGTTGGGGGAAGTGGGGGGCATGGGAAACGGTTTGGATTGTGTGTGTGTGTGTTTGTGAGGTTTTTTTTGTTGTTTTGTTTTTGTTTTGTTTTTTTTTTTTTTGGTTTTTTTTTTTTTTTTTTTTGGTTGTGTGGCTTATTGTACCCCTCCCCCCCCCCTTTTTTTTTTTTTTTTTTTTTTTTTTTTTTTTTTTTTTGTAGTCGTCTGTAACTCCATAAGTGCTTATTTTCTTTTCTTCCTGTCAAGTAAGTTGCAGGCTTTGGCTTGGAAATCCCCAGGGGGATAAGGGGCAGGAACCTGAGGCTGCTGCCCCTTTGTCTGTCTTCATGGTACTGTCCCTTCCCCCAGCTCTTCCTGGAACCCATGAGCCAGGCCTCAGCCCTTCCAGCTAACCGCTTCCCATGAGCCACTACTCTGATGTCAGCCTATAACCAAAGGAGCTGGGGGTCCAGGTCTGGCGACCAGTCCTTCTCAGTCCCCTCAATCAGGGTGCTCCCCACCTGCAGGCAGGAGGCAACACCCTATCTGCTGCCATCAGCCCCTTCCAGAGCCCACCTGTCCCGCCCAGCCCTGTCCTGCCTTGCCATACCCTGCTCTGCCCCATCTGGGGGTGCTCTGCTCAGGGATGGGCCGGCAGGGCTGCATCCAGTCTCCCTGGTGAGCAGAGACTCAAGAAAACCTCTGGGGTCCTGCCCTGGTCATATGACCCCAGGGGGGACCCTTGGGCATCTGTACAGAAGGGACTGGGAGGGAGGGCTGCACCCTGCAGTCTTGCTCTGCTGGTGTAGCAAGCAGCTCCCCACCCTAACCCCCACCGTGGGCTCCTGAGTCGGCAGATTAAGCATTTTATAAATTGTATTTTAAATACATGTTTTAAACTTGTCAGACATTTGTCCTCATTTCTGGCTTCCTGTCTCATACTGTGGTTGCTTCTCCAGCTCTGGGGAGGGGGGTTCCTGCTCTTGCAGTGGTCAGCTGGTCTCAGACGCTGAGGCTTTCTGGGGTACTTGGCTTAGGTCCTCCACTTTAGGACTCCCAAGCCTTGAGTAGGGAGACTGGCAGCTGCAGTAGGAGGCCCCAACTCCCCCAGACAAAGTTTCAAACCTGGGGGCCATACTGGAGCTCTGTAAGTCATATAGGGTGGTGAAAACTGGGGCCTCCACTGACATCAGATACAAAAGCTGAGGTTCTTGGTGTTTATTGGCTTACCAGGCCATGAAAGCAAACTCCCAAAGCCAGGCCCTGCCCCACGGCCCAGCTGTCTATAGGTCTTGAACTTCTGGAGCCAGGATTCCAGACAATCAGTGGGTTCTGGCTGGCACAGAGCTAAGCCACTTTCTGCTGTCAGAGCTGTGTTCCCTAGGGAGGAGAGGAGGGCAGAAAGATGGAGCATATTTGGCTCCCTTCTTGTGTCCTGCCAGGTTCACAAGTTATCCCACGTAGTCGAGAGAGGCAGCTTTTAAAAGTGGAGTCAGACATTAGGCTTGGGTGCTAATTCCAGGTCCTGGGGACTCTGAAGGGAACATCCCTTTCCTAGTTTCTAAGCTTTTCCCATAATTTGGAGAAAAGCCAAGGAGTTCCCATGCTTGAGAAACGGGGAGCAACACCATCCTAAGAAGGATGATAGACTCAGGACTGCTGTGACATGCTCTGGCATCTGTGTAATTGCCTCTCTGATACACAGGCTTTCAGCAAAGGTTACTTTCTTCCCTGTCCCATCTGTCCATCCATCCTTCCTGGAGCAAGTAGTTTCCCAACATAGTCTCTTTGAAAGATGAATTCCCCAGTTGTTAGGCCAGGGATCTCTTCATGATAATAATAGATGAGCCTGAGAGGCCCTGGCCCTCAGTACCCACCTGCTTCCTTGCTGTCCTGGCTGGAAGAAGATGCCATGGATGTCAGGGCCCAGGGTTGTAGAGACACACTGATCCAGCACAGGATGATTATGGCTACCCTGCTTTCGACGGACTGCCTTCTTCTCTAGCCTTGGGCAGAGTGGGATGCAGGGCACCTGGGCATAGGGGCTTTGCAGATTGGCAGCTGAGATAGGAGGGAACGAGAGAATTGGAGCAGGGCCAGCCTGGTAAAACCCTAGTCTTGCTACAATAGTGAACAGAGTTGGTTTAGGCAAGCCCTTAAAGGCTGAGCCTCTAAGATAGAGAAGGTATTGGTACCCACCACGTGGTAGATGATGTGTGTGAGGCGGAAGGCTGAGTACACAGTAAAGGCTGGCCATTTGCACAGGAGAATGAATGATCAAGCACACAATTTGGTCTTGAACCTAAGTGCAAACTGCCCTTGCCAGCATACTAGCTGGGAAGTCACTGAAATTTCCTTCTCTATCATTTCTGTCAAGTGGGGTGACTAAAGGGCACACCTACAAAGGGCCTTGCAGTGGAATGGACTCTGCGGGCTCTCACATATTTTGGGACAGCCTCGTCTCAGCGATAAAGCAGGAAGGCAGAGTAAAAAGCATGGAACTGGACATTGGGTGATATGGACCAGCCTTATTTGGTCATGGTTCCCACCCATCTAAGCCTTGGGCTTCATCTGGGGGAATCTGGCCACATGGACAGAGATCTACTTGCCAGCCAGGCTGCCCACTGGCCCTCACCATAGTTCTGCTGCTTCAGCCTGCTCAGGATCCTGAGGACCCTTCGTTCTGGGACCTCTAAGCTTTCTACTTGTTGAGAGTTGTAAGGAAGCTTCTTCCTCTGTCGCAGCCCGCCCATAGTCGAGTCCATGTCTCTGGTCTTGGAGGTGCCTTCCTTCAGCTTCTTCTGGTAGTAGCTGAGGAGGCAACACCCCGAAGTTCAGGCTGGCTGTGGTTAATTCACCCCTTCTTCCTTATCCCCACCCTCACCCCACCCCGTTCCAGCTGGCCAGTTGTGTGTGGCAAAACTGAAGCCTTGGGGAGGGGGGTCGGTTAGGAGACATAATTCCCTTATGAAATACGAGGAAATGGTTCTGTCTACCCCGTCACTGAAAGTCACTGGACGTCTGAGCTTCAGATGTGCCGAATGTGCATAAGCCGGAGGATTGTACACCAGATGAGACCCATCTTGGCACCAGCCATAGAGATTGGTAAGTATTACACACCATTTGTTACTTTTAGTTTTGCTTAGATAGAGCTCTAGGAATGTGGCTTGGTTGCTGGAGTGCTTGCCTAGCATTCAGGAAGCCTTGGCAAACTGCTCCAGTGACCTTGGTGGCATGTGCCTGTAGATGTGGGGGGCTCAGAAACTCACAGGCAACATTGGCTACATGGTGAGTTCTAGGCCATTCTGAGATACCTGAAGTCCTTGTCTTGAAACAACAAACCCAGCCATGCAGCTGGCCCCACCTCATCTCAGCTGCAGCTTAAGGCCATGTCACAGAGTCTGCTGTCCTTGTATAGTAGGCTCCCACCCCATGCTTGCTTGCTTGCTTTTTATATCTGTTGGGAGACAGGTCTGGCTATATAGCCTTAACTGTCCTAGTACTGGCCCAGGCTGGCCTCAAACTCATAGTGATCCTTTGACCCCTTGCCTCCTGTGTGTTGATGTTACACAAATGAGCAGCCATGCCTTGCTCAGGGTTACTGACCTTAACTCATCAATTGCCTTTTACCTTATTGAGTACATACAGCAGCAAATAATGTGCTAACTGTTCCCACTGGCCTGGAGTAGTGAAGGGCTGCCACACACAAGGATATCCTGTGTTTGTGTTTGCCTGGCCTCTTCCTCCAGCCCCTACTGCAGCACCCACTTCTGCAGGGACCACTCACAAGGTTCACCTCAGGCTGCTTTTGACACGTGGGACTCAGAGGTGCAAAGGAGTTAAACACCCGAGGGCCACCACTGGAGTTGGTAACCAGGGTATACTATGACATTTCCCTTTGTTCACAGGCCACCCTCACAGCTCTTCAGATCCTTGTGTTGCCTCTCCCTCTGCCACCTACTCCCTTCTGCCCCTAAGTCAGCTACCTGGACACAGAATGGCGGGCAGACCGTATCTGACTATAAAGATGCACACAAACACAGAGAACTGCTCCTGAAGTGATACACACTACAGCTGACTTGTGTTTTTGTGGTCTCTGGACAGTCTCGGAGCCCAGGCTGGCTTCTAATTCACAAGGATGACCCTTGAGCTCCTGATCCTCCTGCTTCTACTTAAGTGCTGGGATCAGGGGGTGCATGCTACCACACCCAGTTCTAAAGTCAACTCTCTTGAGGACTCAGAACCAAAGGGTGAGAAGTTCAAGAAAAATAACATGTTGGGCTGGGCTGTAGGAAGGGCTTGCAAAGTAACAGGAAATAATCTGAGCAAAGTGGGGATACATCTTTCTGTTTTTTCAAGACAGGATTTCTCTGTACAACCATGGCTGTCCTGGAACTCACTCTGTAGACCAGGCTGGCCTCAAATTCAGAAATCTGCCTGCCTCTGCCTCCTGAGTGTTGGGATTAAAGGTGTATCACCACCAACACCACCCAGCTGCATCTGTGTGTTGACATTTGTATGGAGGCCAAAGAAATCTTCAAATTTTAAGTCATTGAGCTTTATGGCTTGAACTCATTTGCATTTAGAGTAAGAAAATGGTATTTGTGTTGTGGATATTTGATTATACTCTATGAAGATGTTTCTATATTTTACATCACCTGCCTAAGGTACCTTCTGATTGGTTTAATAAGTGCTGAATGGCCAATTAGCTAGGCGGGAGAGAATTGGCAGGATTTCAGGCAGAGATAGAAATTCTGGGAAGAATCTGAGGTGGGGGGGGTGGATTTGCCAGCCAGACTTGGACGAAGTTGAACATACAGTATGGAAGAGAGGTAATAGAGTCACATGGCAGAACATAGATTAATATAAATGAATTTAAGTTTTAAGAGATAGTTGGGAACAGACCTAAGCTAAGGCAAACTTTCATAATTATAGTCTCTGTCATTATTCAGGAGCTGGCAGTCCAAAGGAAATCTGACCAATATGGATGTGTGGTGCGTTGATTGGTCAGCTGGTAGAATATTTGGCTAGCATACATGAATCCCTAGGTTTGGCCCCTGCACCAAACTTAACCAAGCATGATTGTACACCCCAGTAATCCTAGCACTCGGGAGGTAAAGACAGGAGCATCAAGACTTGAAAGTCATCCTCAGCTATATCAAATTGGAGTCTAGCCTGAGCTACATGTGCCCTTAGTGAAATCTGAATTCTTATTTAATTTTTGAGACAGAGTATTACTATGTACCCCCTGCTGGCCTAGAATTCAGTGTGTAGACCAGCTTGATCTCAAACTCACAGAGATTCCCCTGCCTCTGCCTCCTGAGTACTGGGATTAAAAGCATGGGCTACCACACCTGGCCAGTTTAAAATGATTGGCCTTTGGGAACTGGGCACAGTGAAATGTGCCCACAGCTCTAATGAAGAAAAAATTAACTCTGGGGCCCAGTCTCTTAAAACTTGGAGGTGTTTTGTTATGGTCTCTCGCAAGTAAAAGTACTTGTTCAAATGAGCTTGGAGCTAAGCAGCCATCTTTTGTCATAGAATCACAAATTCCTGGGTTGAAGGTATAGCTCAGTGACAGAGTGAAAGGGAAGGAGGGACCTCAGGGGAAGAGGTAATCCAAGAGTTTGGGGATCTGAGACAGGAGGATTGCCATCCTGGGCTTCATGAGACCCTGTTTCAAGGGGGTGGGAGGAGACAGGAGAAAGAACAATGGTAATTTATCCTCTGGTATTTGGTGGATGTTTTCTCAAAAATGAGTGATGTTAGCTGACCACTTTAGGTTAAACCTATGACAGCCCTGGCTGCTTATACAAAGGAAAAGAATCTCCTTCTGAGCCCGTTGTGACGCCTCAGGTCAGTGCTGTAATCCCAGCTAAAGCCACAGCACAAGAAAGGGACAGTGAGGGGAGAGGAAACCCTAAGGGGAGAGAATCTCCCCGATGGACATCTGCTAAGGAGTGATTCCAGAGTGTAGAGAACTCAAAAGCTGGGCGATGGTGGCACACACCTTTAATGCCAGTACTCCGGAGGCAGGGGCAGGTGGATCTCTGTGGGTTCAAGACTGGTCTATACAGTAAGATCCAGGACAGCCAGGGCTACAGAGAAAACCCCTAACTCAAAAAGCCTAACAACAACAAAAAAAGAACTCAAGAGTCAAGAAAATAAACCATCCCATTAAAAACTGGGCTAAGGATGGCCACTGGGCAATGGTGCTCACCTGTAATCCCAGCAATCGGGAGGCGGAGGCAGGCAGATCTCTGAATTTGAGGCTAGCCTGGTCTACACAATGAGTTTCAGGACATCCAGGGCTACACAGAGAAACCAACACTGTCTCAAAAACGAAAGAAAGAAGGAAGGCTAAGAAAGACCTCAAAGTGTGTTCAGCAGCAGCAGAAATTAGAGAAATTCACTTTGAAACAACTTTGAGATTTCATTTTAGCCCAAATCAGAACAGTGGAGATCAAGAAAACAGCTGGCGACAGATGCTGTCAAGGATGTGGGGAAAGGAGAGCCCTCTCCCAATGTTGGTGGGACTGAAGACTGGTGTAGCCACTCCAGAAATAAATGTGAATTCTCAAAAGGCTAAAGATAAATCTACCATACGACCCAACGAATATTAAAATGTGCTCATTTAGGCCAGGAAGTAGATTAGGGCAAGGTTCAGAGATCAGCTGGTCCAACGCCACCCATCACTTTTAGCCGGAGAATGGTCATGTTTATTTAGCCTGTAGTCATCTCTTCCTGGGCTACCCATTACCTGCCCATAGTTCTTCCTGGTGGCCCAGTTTCCCACTGTCTCTCCATCACCCTTCCTAGAGGCTGAGCCACCCACTACTTGCCCATCACCCTTCTTAGATGCTGAGCTGTCCACTACATTCCCATCACTATTCCTAGAGGCTGAACATCATCCTTTCTACAAGATTCCCTTTCTTAGTGCTTCAGGAAGGATCACTGTAGTCCTGCTGAAATTGCTGAACCAGGAGGACTGAGTGTGGGGGGCTGCCATTACCACCATTCCCACTGGGAGAGCCTTGCTGAGCCTGAAGCCAGCACCCTGAGATGGAGAAATAAACCTTTTCTGGTATCATCCAGTTTCCTGGATCCAGCCATTCCTGAGGCCCTAGCTGATTATTTGAACGGTGCTATTCTCTATTCCACTTAAGGCAGTTTAATTGGGGGTTTCTTCCAGTTGCAACTGAGAGTCTTAACCCTCAACCGTCTTCAGCTGCTGAAGCACTAGCTGCGCTTCTGCCTACGTCCCCCACCCTCAGCAAGCCAGCCCCTCTTACTTCGTGATCTCCTCTAGGGCTGCCTCCGGCAGGGCCAACATCTCCACCAGCAGAGAGAGGATCTCAAAGAACAGTGTGTAGGGGTTCGGGGGCGACATATCCATCAGGACATTCTGTTCTGGGGACATGGAATAGTGGCTGCCATTACTCTTAGGTGGCCTCTGCTGTACCCCATCAGCCTCCAGGTCCTGTTAATGGTTCTGGCTCCACTGGGCTGACCCCCACTCACCCACAGAGCAGAAGAAGCGTTTGGTGTCTGTCATCACTGCCAAGAAGTCTTTGAAATCCACATGACCATCTCCTGCAGTGTCAGAGAAGTAAGAGTGAACAGGACCCTCTGCAGCAGGCCCAGGTACTGCAAGCCAGGCATGGCCCTGGTCTTCCCATGTCCCACCCACGCCCTCGGTGCTTGGGAGATTGTAATGGTGCTGAATGAGCAGAAAATGGACAGGAGAAGCCAAACATTACAATCTTCTGATTAGAAAGCTATTGAACCAGGCTCATAGCTCAGTTGGTAGAGTGTTGACCTAGCAAGCAAAAAGTGCAGGGTTCAGTTCCCCAGCACCTCAAACCTGGAAACGGAGGAAGATTAATACTTCAGGGTCATCCCAGCTCCATTCCAGCCTGAGCTACACAAGGCCCTGTTGAGGAATATAAAACTACTGGACCTTGTATTTTTTTTAAATTTATTTATTTTTATTCTATGTGCGTTGGTGTCTTGCCATGGGTGTCGGGTCCCCTGGAACTGGAGTTACAGACAGTTGTGAACTGCCACGTGGATGCTGGGAATTGAACCTGGGTCCTCTGGAAGAATAGTCAGTGCTCTTAACCACTGAGCCATCTCTGCAGCCACTGGACCTTGCATTCTTGAGACAGCGGTGTGAGTTCAAAACCCAAGTCTACCACTTCCCATTCATGTGACCTGGATCAAGTTTTTGAACCCCTGAAGGTTTAGTTTTCTCACTCTGGAGCAGACAGTCGCTATAGGGCTGCCCGCACAGCACATGCCCACTAACGGCCAGCAACTGACATCCCTGAGCACTGGTGTCTGGATGAGACTGTACCTATACAATACTAGCTAGACTTCAGGGCCCTGCAGGATCCACGGGGCTACCGCCAATAGCCTCATCTCATGCCAAGCTGCCTGAAGACCACATTCTTCCCATTGAGGGTCTTTATTCATGCCGCTCCCTAGTCACAGATGTCACCCTTGTCATGTTTCCTCAGTATTACACTCGTTTTATGTGAGGGGCGGTGATAGCTTGCCACATCACAAGTGTGGAGGACAGAATACATCTTTTGGGAGTCGGTCCTCTCCTCCCACCATGTGATTGCCAGGGATCAGACTCAGGTCATGTTTAGTGGCAAGCATGTTCACAGCTAAGCCATGTCACCTTCCGTTTCTCAGAGGTTCAAACTGGGTCAGATTCCCCCAGCAGGCTGTCTCCTACAGCTCCTGTCACACATGTGTCACCGAGAACTTAAAGGAGACTCTGAGAGACAAAGACTGTACATTTTTGTCCCACGCTATGTCCTGGAGTGCAAGCGGGTGGCAACTCCATTGATGTTCTCTGAGCTGCTTGACAATGGACTAAGGTGAAAGACAGGTGTGATGCTTAGGACTTAACCCTGACCATAGGTGGGGCTCGAGGCTCTTGCCCTGTCCACATTGGGCAGAGCTAGGTCAGCTAGGGTTGAACCCCCTTGGAATGTGTGGGAGGTGTCTGTGCAGTGGCGGAGGGAACAGTCACGAGCAGTGGCCTCTTCCCTGTGTCAGCCATGCCCTGCCATATGCAGGCATGCCCACTTCTCAGGGACTACTGCTTCCCTCTCTCTTTGCCTGACTGTTTACTTTGGAACCACTTGGCTTGAATGGCACCTCCTCCAGGAAGCCTTCCTTCCTGACCCCCATCTTCCAAGCTGCTATAACTGTTTGTTTCCATTTGCTTTGCTTAACTTGTGTCAACCCTTGCCCTGTGGCAGTAACTGTCTGGGAACTCTTGAGGACAGCAGGGCTCGTGTGTCTTACACATCTCTATTCTTGGTGCCCTGCACAGGAACACCCACAGAAGGCATTCCATACTTGTTGCATGGGTAATGCTAACAGCTGCTGCCTCCTGGCCTGCAGAGCTCTGTCCCACCTCTTGCCTGGCTTACTCCATTGTATCTTACAGAACTTGATGAGGAGGTTGCTACCAATAGCTCCATTTTATAGACAGAGAAACGGAGGCCTAGCAGACTGTAGTTACTTGACCAAAACCATAAGGCTAGTAAAAGAAATGCCAGGGTCATGCTGGGCCTTTAATCCCAGCTTTTGGGAAGCAGAGGCAGGTGGATCTGTGAGTTCGGGGCCAGCCTGGTCTACAGAGTAAGCTCTAAGCCAGCCAAGGCTACACAGAGAAACCCTGTCTTGAGAAACCAAATAAACAAAGAACTGCAAGGGTCACAGAGGAACACTTGATGTGCACAGCCTCCTGAGGTCACCTATATCATTGGTCAGGAGGTAGGTCCTGGTCACCTCTGGATCCCAGAGGGTGGTACTGCACAGTGCTTCTGGGAACATTACCTTCCAAAACCAGCCAGCTTGCTATAGTCTTCCTGAGAACCAGTGTGGGAGGAAAATGCAGATAAAATGGGTTCCAGTGTTAGGGACACTGGACTCTGACCCCGAGCTTTATGCCAAGCCGGGTCCTTCCAGCAAGGAGCCCACATGAGTGCAGCCCCTGTTGGGGGCTCAGGGACGACCCCCTTGCTCACCATTGACATCAGCACTCATCAGGGCTTCTTCCACCTGGCCTGGGGTAAGGGTGAAGCCAATTAGAAGCAAGGTGTTCTTGAGGCTCCGAGCATCCACCTCACCAGGGCCATTGAAGATTTCAAAGTAGCTGCGGAAGGCTGTCGAGGGAGACAGGTTACCAGGTGGAGGCTCCTGCACTTCCTCTTTCTCTTTTTAAAGATTTATTTATTTACTGTGTATACAACATTCTGCCTTCATGTTTGCCTGCACCCCAGAAGAGGGCACCAGATGTCATTACAGACGGTTATGAGCCGTCATGTGAGTGCTGGGAATTGAACTCAGGACCTCCGGAAGAGCAGCCAGTCCTCGTAACCTCTGAGCAGTCTCTCCAGCTTTATCTTTTCTAACTTTTGTGTGGCATCTGGTGTGTGTTACAGTATATGTGGTGTGCTTGGTGCATGTGTGTGCATGTCACGAGGAAGACATAGGCTTCCAGCTTTGTTACTCAGCTTTATTCCCTTGGGTAGTGAAAACATTCTGAAACACTTGAGGAAAGGAGCCACTTGAGGAAAGGAGTCATGAAAGTTCCAGACCTTAGGACCACAGAAACTGAAGGGCACAGCACCTCACCCAGGGTAGGAGTTCAGCACTGTTCAGTTTTGTTAGTGGGGTAGGGTGTGACGGGAAATAGGGACTCGTTTGGGACTGGTGGCCTTGTTAAGTGGAGAGGGATTATTTAAGACACCTAGGGTTCCTGGGGGGCCCTGTCTCCCTCCAGGCCGCCTCTAAAGAGGACTGGTAGAGTGCCCTGAAGTGCCGGAGGCAGCCGACCTTTTCTATGTCCTAGGCCAAGTGCAGTTGACCTGCTGGAGACGCTACTCGCTGTGGTGGGGCAGTGGGTCAGCAGGGCAGTGACATGAGGTGCTCACCTTCCTCTTGCTTCAGGGTGAGGTGCTCCTCAGACCGCTCCTCCCAGCTCTGATACAGTTTGAAGAGGCCATGCTCTTCAGGCTCCTGCCTGCAGGACAGTGGGCCCAGGACAGTTTGCAAGCACCTCCTGCTGGCCTCTGCCCAAGCTACCCAAGAGCAGGGGAGAGGAAGCCAGGGCAGCAGGAGTTAAGGAAACTTCCCTGAGGGACCCTGGTGGTGAGAGGTCACAGGTAACAGGAGAGACAGACTCGAGAGAGTGAGGCAGAGTCACGCGTGGTTCATTTGGGGGTGCACCTGGGGGTGCAGTACGGGGTAGAGTGTTTGTCTAGTATGTATGGACCCCTGGTTTCTACCCCCAGCATCAGAAAGATGGGAAAGGTGGGAAAGAGTGGAAAAGGAGGGAACTTGAGGGACCCCTGCTGGGAAGCACAGGAGGGAGACAGAGGGGGCTCATGAGGGGATGAGCAGCTGCAAGGACCAGAGTGTAGAAGGGTAGTGCGAGGGTCCACAGTGGAAACACGAAGGAAGCGTGGGGCCCGCGTGGGGCCCTGTCCACAAGGTGGGCTAGCGGAGGTGGCTCCTACCGTGTCTTGGCGTAGTTCAGGCTTCTGTCATTGCTCTGGGGCAAGAACTCTGGCCATCTCCAGTTCAGGTCCTGGGTGGCGGGTGACAGGGCTGAGCTAGGGGATCCCACAGAGGCAGGGGCTTGCCCAGCAGCTGGTGTTCTGACCCACATTGGGACAGTAGCTGGAGCTGAGGTGGAGGGCTCGTGCAGGGTCAGAGGCAAAGTTGGGACTGAGCTGCTGGTGGGGCCTGGGGTGGAGACAGAAGTCAGGGCCTTGGGGGACCTCCGTGTTGTCAGGGTCCTGGTTTTCAAAGCCCTCCGATGGGTGACTTCCTCCTGCTCCTCCACCTCCAGTAGACACTTCATGAAGCCCCGACGGGAGTTTCCAGGGCCTTGGGTGCCTGCAGCTGCCAAAGCCTGCTGCCGTTGCTTCTGCCCTTGACCCAGCTCCTTCTTCTCAACACTGTCTTTTTCCTCCTGAGGGCGGGAGAGGGCCTGTGGCGTACCTGCAGCCAGCCAACCAGACTGGCCCATGAGCTTCTAGTCCCCTCGGGGCCTCTGAGGATGCTCTGGAGTGGTACTCCAGATCTCCATGTGCCATCCTAGGACCCATGTCACGTTCTGGGCCCACAAGCGACTCTCCATGTCCCACCTGCAAACTATGTTCCTGAGTGAGCCAGTTTCCTTCACTGCACCCCACGCAGCTGGCAGAGGCTTTGCCGCCCTTGATGCCTATTTCACACAGGTGTCCCCGCACACGATGGACCCTGGGCTTTCTCCATCATTTACTCCCAACAGCATCCCAGTTTTCCCCACCTCTTACTCCCATCAGCATCCTTTTCTTGGTGCTAAGGATCGAGCCTGAGGCCTCGCTGATAAGAGCACTTGCACCTCTGAGGTGCATCCCTAGCCCTCCCTTCTTTTTTTTAAAAAAGGAAAGCAAAGCTGGGTATGGTGCTTTAATACCCAGCTCCCACCTGGAGGCTCACAATCCTTAACTCTAGCTCTGGGAGAGGGAGGGGAGATATTTGTCGCCCTCTTCTGGCTTGCTTGAGAAGTGCATACATGTGGTGCACAGGTGTACATTCATGCAAACACTGTCAGCCCCCACTTTCCACCCCACCCCATCCCAAAGCACCAAAAAAACACAACAAAATAGGATGCTTATGATAAAGTACCCATGGCTGATGAGATACTTGAGATTGGGTGGTCGGGGAAAACCTTTGCTGAGAGAGTGACATTCAGGTCGAAGCCTACACGACTTTGTGGAATTAGTCATGGCAGCATCTATGGGGAGCCAATCAGGAATGCGGGACGTCATGTGCGAAAGTCCTAAGGGGAAAGAAGTCAGGGCACACCTACAGGATAGAAATCTCACCAGAGTAGCTAGACACAGAGCCTTGTGTGTTTGGGTGGTGATTTGGGGACTTGTTCTATAAGGGAGAGCCTGGACTGGTTGTGGGGGTTGGGAAGGGATGGATTCAGAGGTGACTTTGCAGGACTGGGGGAGACTGCTGGTGCACTGAGTGTGAAGGGGTAGTGTAGGGATAGAGGAATAGGAGCCATTCTGAGCTGGTTCATGCAAGCCTCTGGGTGCAGGGCTACGGGGACCTTTGCTGAGGTGAGGACTGGGCAAGGAGTGGGTGACAAGTGGGGTGTTGTGGATATTAGTTTAAGATGTGTCATATTTGTTTCTGCTGTGGAATATTTGTTTAATGATGAAAAGATGTGTTGCATTCTTTTATGTTGCAATTGGTTAACTCTTTAGAGCTGTGTTACTTTGCCCGCCTAAAACACCTGATTGAGCTAAGGAAGAACAGAATGGCCAATAGCTAGGAGGAGAGGGATAGGCGGGGCTGCCAGGTAGAGAGAGTAAATAGGAGGAGAGGAGCAAGGGGTGAGGAGAGGAGGGGGAGTGCGGGGGGGGGGCAGACATACAGCCGCACAGCCAGCCAAGGAATAAGAAGGAAAGATATATAGACTAAAGAAAGGTAAAAAGCCCAGGCAAAACACAGTTAAAGAGAAACAGGATAATTTAGTTAGAAAAGCTGGCTACAAACAAGCCAAACCAAGGTTGGGCATTCATAAATAAGGATAACTCTCTGTATTTATTTGGGAGCTTGGTGGTGGGCCTCCTAAGAGAGAGAGAGAGGAAAAAAACCTGCAATGGGGGTACAAGGCTCTGCTCTGATCTGTAGTCTGAGGAATGAACTCACTTGCTGTGGGGTAACCCTTCTGTACTTTGTGAATATGTTACTTTCATTGGTTGATAATAAAGCTGATTTGGCCTATAGCAAGGCAGAATAAGGCTAGGCAGTAAAGCCAAACTGAAAATACAGAGAGAGAGAGGGGCAGAGTCAGAGAGAGAGAGAGAGAGAGAGAGAGAGAGAGAGAGAGAGAGAGAGAGAGAGAAGCAGCCTCCAAGGAAGCAAAAGATGCTAGAGAACACATAAAGCCACGAGCCATATGGCAAAATATAGATGAATAGAAATGGATTAAGTTTAAGTTGTGAGATCTAGTTAGTAATAAGCCAAACATTTTGTAATTAATATAGGCTTTTTGTATGATTATTTGGGATTGGGCAGTCGGTACAAAAGAAAAGCTCCTTCTCTGTTTACACTCACTCCAGCCGGCTGTTGGGATTATGAGCCTCGAGTTTCAAGACTTAAGTCTGGCATGGAGATGCCACTTTGGGAGTCAGCAGAGACTGGATGCAGTCACCCAGGAGAGAGCAGCCAGGAGGGCAGAGGCGACAATAGAGGCAGGGAGGGAGGCTGGGAAGGAGCCAGCTGGGAAGCAGGAAGAGCCCTGAGGTTCAGGTCAGGGTGCCCTGAACATCCAAGATATGTGTGGGCAGGAGATAGGAGCCTCAGCCAAGTACCTGCAGAAAGTCTGTGGCAGGTGTGTACTGATGTGTGTGTGCCATGTGGTACATCGGAGGTCAGAGGACAACTTGGGGAGTCAGCTGTCTCCTGCCACCATGTGAGGCCTGAGGGTTGAACTTAGGTCATGCTAATGCATCCTTCTGATCTTTTCATTAACTAGCCATATTTAATTCATTGATTTTGAGACATGGTCTCACTGTGTAGCCTTGATTGGTCTGAAACTCTCTATGTAGACCAGGCTGTCCTTGAACTCTGTTATCTGCCTGTCTCTGCATTCTGAGTGCTGTTTCTCTTTCCTTTCTCTCTCTCTCTCCTTTCTTTCCTTCCTTCCTTCCTTTCTTTGACAAAGTCTTCCTATGTAGCCCAGGCTAGCCTCCAATTCATAGCATTCCTGTTCTCTGCTTCCTGAATGCTGAGATTACAACCGTGTACCTGCCACTGTCCCTTATTCTGCCATCCCCTCTTTCAAGGCAGGCCCTGTAAAGTCAGAGTTTCTCCATTTGGTTTAGTTCAGTGCAGACTGTTGAGACAGGCTGGTTAAGAAAGACCAGAGTGTGAACACAGAAAGCAGGGGCTGGAGAGGTGGCTCAGTAGTTAGAAGCACTGGCTGCTCTTTCAGAGGCCCTGGGTTCTATTCCCAGCACCCTCATGGAGGCTCACAACCATCTCTAGCTTCAGAGGATCTGACATCCTGTTGTGGCCTCTGAAAGCACTAGACACACACATGGTGCATGATGATACATAGAGGCAAAATACCCGTGCACAGAAACTGAGTAAGTCTAAAAACAACACAAAATGTAAAATGCTATGTCGCATATAATAGGAGCAGTGTGTGGAGTTCTGCTCTTGACGCTCCCCTTAGGAAGTACCTGGAAGTCTCCAGAGGCGCTAAGAGGGTGCACGGGGGCTGGGGTAGATGCTGTTCCAGAGTAGTGTTGGTGGGAAGGCTGGAGAAACGGGGAGACTGGTGTTGTGGAAGGGAAAGGACCTGATAATGAAACAGGTCAGCAGGGGTGGCGGTTGATGGGCAGGAAGAGGTCAGGTTATTTATTTGTTTGTTTAAGAGGGGGCACCCAGATAATTTTTGGGGGCAGGGTTTCTCTGTATTGTTTTTGAACCTGTCCTGGAACTAGCTCTGTAGACCAGGCTGGACTGGAATTCACAGAGATCCGCCTGCCTCTGCCTCCCAAGTGCTGGGTTAAAGCCTGGCTGGCCTGGCTGAGGCTGGATCTTTCCTTTTCTTTTTCTTTCAATAATCTATTTTTATTTTTGTGCATTGGTGTTTTGCCTACATATATGTCTGTATGAGGGTGTTGGATCCTGGAGTTACAGACAGTTGTGAGCTGCCATGTGAGTGCTGGGAATTGAACCCAGGTCCTCTGGAAGAACAGTTAGTGCTCTTAACCACTGAGCCATCTCTCCAGCCCTGAGGCTGTTCTTGTCATCCTATTTTCTTCAGTGACACTTGTTGGAGGCTGAAAGGACATGGTGGAGTGGAGGGAGATGGCGGCATTGATGGGTAGAAGCTAATAAATTACACACGTGGTCACTTCAAAGGGAAGCCAGGGACAAGCCTGAGCATTGCAGTGTACCTGGCTGGAATGTTCAGAGCTGGGGTGTGGCTGGGGATGTGGTGTGAAGATAGGCAGGTGTGGTAAGGGCTGGAGGAGGATGGCAGGCTGGGAATTCTAAGCTTGTACCATCAGTTCATTCAGAGACCATGAAGCGGCAGAGCTGGTGGTGTGGGGCTGGCAGGAAGCCAGCAGATGTTCATAGATTGGAACTGAGGGCAAAGAGCAGAAGCAATCCAGGCTGGCCTGGAGCATCCCTGGGATGGACTCGAGGGCTCCAGAGTGTGATCCATGTCTGACTGCCTAGTCCAAGCAGACTCACCAGGCCGGGCAGCACACACACCCTGCTCCCAGCATCTGGGAAGCAACGGCCAGCGGGTGGGGTGGTTAGGATTTTAGGGTCATTCTCAGCTACATAGAAAGTTTTAGGTCAGCCTGGGCTACAGGAGACCCTTCTCAAAAACCCAAAAGTTGACTCTGAGGTCACTCAGCAGGTAGAGGCACTTGCCACCGACCCTGACCTGAGTTTGATCCCCAGAGTCCACATGGAAGGAGAGACCCTCGCACCTGTGGCATGGGACATGTGCTGTGCCTGTGCACAGAGGAGTGCATGTAATTTAAAAAAATCAAAAAGAAGGAAATATAAATCAAACACACACAGCCCAGGCTTCCACTTATACTTTTCCCAGTTTGCCTGGCAATGTTTCCATTCCCACCATTCCCCCTCCAACTCTCCCACAATTCCCCTTCCCTGACTTCCCATCCCGACTCTGACTCTACTTACTGGTGGAGGAAGAGGCCTTGGTGCTGCTTTGGTCTCCAGAGCTTCACCTCTAAACAGAGAGGAGCCCCAGGCGGGGCGGGGTTTCAGGTCAGGCCTTCACAGTACCTGACCTGAAGCCCCAGCACACTGCCCTGCTACCCTACCCCATCCCATTCCTTTTTCACCTCAGCATCCCTACATTGCTCTACTTGCAAGCAGACAGACCCACAGATCAAAGCAGGGGAAAGCCAAGACCTAGCAGCAGGCGACTTAATCAAGGTGTTTCTTTCGGTGGGGCAGAAACATGAAAAGCACCATACTGTTTTATATTTGTGGTCTTTAAAAACCATTTGTTGGGCCCTTCATGGTGATGCAGGCCTTTAATCCCAGCACCTGGGAGACAGAGGCTGGCAGATCTCTCTGAGTTCAAGACCATCCTGGTATACGAGGAGAGTTCAAAGACAGCCGGGACTACACAGCTTGCCTTGAAAAAATAAGTAAAAATAAAAATACATGTTTGCTCATGTTGTGTTAACACAGATGTGGAAGTCAGAAGCCAATCTGTGGAATCAGTGAGTCTGTGGGGTATCCGTTTCAGATCACCATACTTAGTGGCAAGGACTTTAACCTGCTGAGCCATCTCACTGACCCAGTAACTTCTCTCTCTCTCTCTCTCTCTCTCTCTCTCTCTCTCTCTCTCTCTCTCTCTCTCTCTCTCTCTCTCTGTGTGTGTGTGTGTGTGTGTGTGTATCCATCCACAGCACAAGTGTGGAGGCCAGAGGACAACTTGCACAAATCGCTCCCACTGAGTCCCTGGGGATTGAATTTAAGTCTTCAGGTTAGCGGCAAGCACCTTTACCCAATTGTGGGAAGCTGTTTAGTCCCTGGTAGTGGACGTCTGTATGTACTTTGGGCCCAGGTGTGTTTACTCTTGACCCTGAAGGCCAGATGACAGGTGTGGTGGCTACCTAATACCTGGAGGATTAAGGGAAGTCTCTTTGCCCCTTGTACATCATAACAGAAGTCTTCTGCCGTTGTCCCCACTTTTGGTTGGGTGCTTAAGATTGTTAAAGAATAAACTAAGAGGCGCATTCAGTATGGATTGAATGGCCCTCCCGACAACTATCCTGTGTCTCTGTCTCGTCTCTTAACCCTTTTAGCTAGCTTGTCTTAGTCCACACTCCCCCTTCTCAGGTGCAAACTGTGGGCTGCCCGGCTCGATTCTACTGCAGCCCCACAAAGACAGCGTCCCACAAATGGCGCAGCAACATGGGGCAATACGGATGGCAGTGACACCCACTGAACCAGCTCCTCCGCCTCCATGTTGTTTTGAGACATGGCCTCTCATTGGCCTGGAACTGGCTAGGCTAGCTGGCCATCATGACCCCGGGATCTACCTGTCACCATCTCTCTAGTGCTGGGATTACAAAAACGTGCTTTTTACCTGGGGAATTAGTCTCATGCCTGCAGAGTAAGCCTCTCATCGACTGAGCCTGCTCCCTGGCCGGGAGCAGCAGGCAGGGCAGAAGGGAGGATGACTACTCACCCCTCCTTGTGTGTTCGAGGTCTTGGTGCAGATGGCAAGACGAGAGGGGCCTTCTTTTCCTCTGCAGTTGCCTTGGGTTTGGGGGGCGCTGCCACCTGGGGGCTGTCCTTTTGTGGCCCTGAGCTGGGTGTTGGCATGGGCTCCGGCAGCCTGGCCTGTGGGAGGTCTGCTTCACTGGGGGGGTCATCCTCCAGTGGCTGACTCCTGCTGTTCGAAGTGTGTGGCTTTTCCAGTTGATGGTCTGTTTTTCCCTGAGTGGGGAGAGTCGGAGTCTGGGAGATTAAGAAGATGGCCTTAGAAGAGCTGCTTCTTACTTCCTGAGGGGAGTTTCAAATGACAGACTTGGCACACAGATCTATTATATATATTAGCTTTTCATAAAAACTTTTTGGGGGGATGAGGGTTTTGAGATAGGGTTTCTCTGTGTAGCTCTGATTATTTTAGAACTCACTTTGTAGACCAGGCTGGCCTCAGACTCACAGAGATCCTCCTGACTCTGCCTCCCGAGGGCTGGGATTAAAGGTGTGTGCCACCACCGCCTGGCTTAAAGATGTATTTTTATTTATGTGTTTATGCATGTGCACTTGGAGGCCAGAAGAAGACATTGGATCTTAGAGTTACAGGTGGTTATGAGTCACCATGTAGAGTTCTGGGAACTGAACTCCAGTCCTCTGGAAGAGCAGCCAGTGCTCTTAACTGCTGAGCCATCTCCCTGGCTGAAGATTTTATACATATGTATATATGTGTATCTATTTTGTATCTTAACATGTAGGTATATATATGCACACATGAATTTTGTTGTTTTTGTTTTGTTCTTCCTTTGAGAAAGAGTCTTACTGTGTAGCTCTAGCTGTCCTGGTACTCACTATGTTAGACCAGGTTAGCCTCAAACTCAGAGATCTGCCTGGCTCTGCCTCCTGAGTGCTGGGATTAAAGGTTTGTGTGCCTTCGTCACCTGGTGAGACCCTGCCTTTAAAACAAACAAAAGGGTTGGGGTTCAGCCTAGCAAGCACAAGGCCCTGGGTTCAGTCCTCATCTCTGAAAAAAGAAAAAAAAAATGATGATGCTGATTTGGGGCTGGGCTTCAATATGAAGCAAAACCAAGAACACACACCTTTAATCCCAGCACTCAGGAGGTTGAAGCGAGGCAGATCTCTATGAGTTTGAAGCCAACCTGGTCTACAGAGTGAGTTCCAGGACAGCCAGGGCTACATAGAGAAACTCTGTCTCAGAAAAAAAAAGAAAAACTAAGAACATTGTATTGGGCTGGATGGTGGTGGCACACACCTTTAACCCCAACACTAAGGAGGCAGGGGCGGTGGGATCCCTGTGTTTCAAGGCCAGACTGTTCTGCAGAGTGAGTTCCAAGACAGGTTCCAAAGCTCTCCAGAAAAACCCTGTCTCGAAAACCCAAAAAAAAAAAAAAAAAAAAAAAAAGCTGTTACATTATTTTTTGTAAATGAATGTAGACATGAGAAAGATAAGGAAATAAAAAGTCTGTTCCAATTAATACATTTTGGAAAGGCCAGAATGCCTTGCAATGGCTCAGTGAGCACAGGGTAACAGGTGTCACAGCCACCCTCTTAAACCCAGCACCTCTCTGCCCAGGCCCTGTCCCCAAGACACCCAGAGAGCCTCTCTGTAAACAAGACCTGAAGAACACTTGGATTCCAAGTCCAGAGTCACCCAATGACCCAGGGAGACTGTCTGCCCGCTCCAGCACCAGCCTCCACCAGACACAGGCACATCTGTTTTGGGGGCACAGGAGACCCCTCTGCCCTCCCCCACATGGTGCCCACACCCTTCTTCCTGATCTCCCAGGGTTACCTGGCAACTGTCAGTGGGATGAATCTCTTTGGCCTTGGTGCTCTGCCATCTCTCCTGCTGGTCCTTGGTCAGCCGTGACTGCTCCTCAGGGGTCACACACTCTCTGCCATGCTGGGCTTGCTCCTGGCTAGCTTGCAGATCGAGGGACGACCCTTCCTCAGTTGCCAAAGATGACTGATTCCTTGCCGGAAAAAAAACCCAAAACCAGACAACAGACCCTTCACCTTCAGCCTGGGTACTGCTCTCCCAGAACACCTGTCCAGGACTAGGCATCTTAGGGATGCACACTTACTGCCTGGGAGAATAAGGGAGAATAAAGGACTGATGCACACCCCAAGTCTCAGGCACCTTAATGGCAGTGCTGAGGTGGTTAGAGTCTAACCCTTGTAGTGTTGACTGTTTTTTTCAAAAAGACAAGGGTGCTGGTGGTGCACACCTGTAACCCCAGAACTAAGGAGGCGGAGAGGGGAGTGTCAGGAGTTGAAGATCAGTCTTAGTCTCATAGTAAGTTCAAAGCCAGGCTGGGCTGTATGGGATCCTGTGTTGGCTCGCACAAGGCGCTGGGTTCAGTTGACAGTACACACACACACACACACACACACACACACACACACACACACACAGAGCAGGTGGAGGCCATAAAACAAAACAATGTAACACACACACACACACACACACAACACTAGAACAATCTGAAAGAACTGGGATTCAGGAAGATTGAGAGACTCGGGCCCGAGGTCATAAAGTTAAAGCTGTCAGGTCTGTGTGTCTAGTCTCTCTGTAATCTGAGTGTCTTCCTCACCACCCGCTTTGCTCTCCCTTCCTTCCTTACACGGGGTTCTGCTCTGCGGCCTAGGCTGGCCTCGAGCTACTAGCCCTCCTGCCTGAGCCCGCTCAGTGCTGGGGTCACCGGTGCAGGCCACCGCTTGCCTGCACTTTCTTCTCAAGGCTTTTTCTCCTGCATGACTCACTGCCAGTGGGGATTCACTGAATGGCTGTCTTCACATGACTTCATATTCTCCACATTCACAGTGCATAATTAACGTGCTAAAAAGCCATCATATGCACACTTTCCTTTTTGTTTCTGTTAGTATATGTTCATTGTAATGGCTTTCATTATGACATCTATACATGGATATACAATATTTTGATGATATTCCCCCCTCATCACCTTCTCCTGCCCCTTCCATTCCCTCTTCCCAACCAATCCCCCTTTTCATTTCCTATCTGCTTTTTATTTATGACTGACTGAGTCTCATGAGGGTGGCTGGCAGGAGCACAGGTGGCACACGGGCCCCTCAGCATCAGCTACGCCACTGAAGAAATATCCCCAGCACCCCTGGACTGCCCAAAGTCCTCAGGAGGGGTGGGGCCTCGAGTCTCTCCTTCCTGCAATAAACACACTTTTGAGTGAGCCTATACAATTCCATATCATAGATAGATAATCATGGTGGCGCACACCTTTAATCCCAGTGTTTGGGAGGCAGAGGCAGGTGGATCTCTGAGTTCAAGGTCAGCCTGGTCTACACAGTGAGTTCCAGGAAAGTCAGGGCTACACAGAGAAACCCTGCCTAAATAAATAAGAGACATCTATGAGTGTTTGGGATGTGTGTGTGTGTGTGTGTGTGTGTGTGTGTGTGTATGTAATGTGTGTGTGCAGAGGCCAAGGAGGCCAGAAGAGGACATTGATGGAGATTGAGCTATATGCAGTTTTGGAGCCACCATGTAGGTTCTGGGAACTGAACCCAGGTCCTCTGGAAGAGCAGCCAGGCTACACAGAGAAACCCTGCCTCAAAATAAACAGAAGAGGAGGGAGGAGGAGAAGAGAGGAGGAAGAGGGAAAGGAAGAGGAGCAGGAAGAAAGAAGAGGAGGAGGGAGAGGAGGAGGGAGAGGAGGGGGAGAAAGGAGGGAAAGAGGAGGAGGAGAAAAAGAGGAAGAGGAGGAGGGAGAGGATGAAATTAGTTTGATTGGTGCTCTGAACTGGGTCACAGTTACAGATCAGAGGAACGCTTGCCAAGCCAGCATCTTCAAGGTCCTGGGTTTGACCCTCAGCAAGGGTGGGTGGGAGGAGAGAGGGGCGAAGTAGGAAGAAGGGGGGAAGTATGGAGTGCTGCAGTCCTAGATCTGCCTTAGCCTGGAACTTCTCAGTTCTCTCCAGGCTTCCATTCCTGGGAAGTCACCCGCCACTCACCTTACTCTTGCAAGGGGCCTCTGCTCCTGGGGTTCAGGCTGCCCGGGCCCCTCCTGGGATGATCCTGTGTGTCCGAGCTCCCTCTCTGGTCCTTTGGGAGCTACAGGCTGCTTTCTGCTGTCCTTTTCCTTGGCACCTGCAAGCCCAGCCTGAAATACAGTTGTACCTGGGCTGGCTCAAGGGCTCACTTGAGCCAGGTGCTGGGGCCTTTCTCCTGTTCTCCCTTGCCCATCCTCCTGTGTTTGCCTGTGTCAGGGAGGTGCCAGAGAGAGGCACAGAGAAAGACCAGGCGGGGGCTGGAGGTAGGTGGTGGGTGGGCCTGGCTGTTAAGCATTAGGAACCCTGGCATAAAACTGGAGACCAACAGGAATCTAAGCCAAAGGATTATGTTGAGGACTGTTTGGAAGGATGCCAGTGGGCAAGAAGAGATGGCTTCTGCCTTCCACACAGTACCATCATCTCATGGCCCAGATGCTGGACTTTTTAGTTGAGTTAGGTTTTTTGTTTTGTTTTGTTTTTACAGCATTTTTCTGTGTAGCCTTGGTTGGCTGTCCTGGAACTTGCTCTGTAGACATGAACTCAGAGATCTGCCTGCCTCTGCTGAGATTAAAGGCATGCACCACCACTGACCCACATTTTTTTTTTTTTTTGGATAGTGGCTGTGCTATATAGCCTAGGCTGGCTTTGCACCTGACATCTTTTTGCATCAGCCAGAATCCTAAGGCAACAGGTGTGTTCCAGCATGGCCCATCCCTGGTTTTGATTTTTAATCTCCATCTTGGCCATCAATTGCCAGTAGGGCAGACCTTAAGCCAACGTAGCTCCTAGCCTCAGAGGTCAGCAAATAACCATGTAGCTCATTAACAAATGGATGAAGTTTAAAAAAAAATAATTTATTTTATGTGCATTGGTGTTTTGCCTGCATGTATGTCTGTGTGAGAGTGTCAGATCCCTTGGAACTGGAGTTACAGACAGCTGTGAGCTGCCATGTAGGTGCTTGGAATTGAACCTGGGTCTTCTGGAAGAGCAATCAGCGCTCTTAACCGCTGAGCCATCTCCAGCCTCATGGGTGAAGTTTTTTTAAATGAAAGATTCTGGCGGGAGGCAACTCCAGTGGGCACCTACCACCAGACAGGGCCTCAACATACATAATCCAAGTAAACCCTTACCATGACACACACACAAAAGGCTGAAAGGGTACAGAGATGCCCCGCAGGATTGGGGCCAGCACGCGTGCGTGCGTGCGTGCGTGCGTGCGTGCGTGCGTGCGTGCGTGCGTGCGTGTGTGTGTGTGGTTAAAGAAGGCCTCGAATGTTTGCTCAGCTTTCTTTTAAAAGACTACTTGTCGGGAGGCGGTAGGTCACTGTGCATTAGAACATGCTTGGGTGGCAGGTGACAGATGTCCACAGAGGGGGACTTGTGGTCAGCTGTGGTTGTCAACTAGATTAAGAAATGCCTGGGAGCTGGATGGGGTGCTTCATGCCTTTGATCCCAACATTTGGGAAGCAGAGGCAGGTGGATCTCTGTGTTCAAGGCCAACCTGGTCTACAGAGAGATAGTTCCAGCACAGCCAGGGCTACACTTAGAAACTGTGACTTGAAACACACAACAACAACAAAAGAAAAAAAAAGGGGGGGGGGAACCAGTGCTAGGGATAGAGAGCAGAACTGGAAGGTCTCTACCTGAGTGATTGACACAGTGGGCTCCAAATCAGTCTTTTTGGTGGAACTCAGGCCAGGACTTGATTGGACTGTGGGAGCCTCTTCCTTGTTCTCTGGGTGTATCTGGGTGTTTCTGTTTTCCATTGTTCTGGAGCCAGCAAGATTCCCAATCCAGGGGCATCAGCTGCTGTTACCAAGAAGAGATCCAGTCAAACTCCTACCAGGCCCGAGGCCCCATTGCTGCAACTGTGCTGCACCTGAAGGCTGGGGTGATCAGCTGTCAAGGAGCCTGCACTGAACCAGGAGCCAATCCCATGTAGAAAGAGCTTGTTGAACCCTAATTCTGGGGTCCTGATGGGCCTGTGGGAGAGCCCCGCCACACAAACACCAAAACGGAGATGCAACAAGCAAGAGGTGTTTATTGAACGAGTGCACTCGGGTGTCAGCAATCTCGGGGAAAGCTGAACACCCCCCAAATGGTTCAGACTCCTTTTTATAGAGAAAGACCGCAATCAGCATACATGCATGGGGCACAAGGTGATTGATTACCAAGTATGATCTCATGTTTGAGAGATCACCCAGCTGTGACCTGTTCTTCTTTAAAGGAAAAACCATAGAATGACTTGGAAAGTCCCCAGACTGTCCATTGGCCAGGAGTGACCCAGCCAGGGCTGTTCATCTGGGACCATTTGTTCCAGGGTTGGGGGCCTGTTTCCTTGTTGTGGGCCAAAACCTGTGAGAAACTTTTTTCATACGCTGGCTTTCTCTTGGCTATAACCAGCCCTATTTAACAAGATGAGTCTAGCATGACCATTAGCCCCCTCACCATAGTAACTTTCTTGTTTTCATAACTTCTGTTCTCTCCTCCCATGTCAACGTTCATGCCTTATGATTTTCTATATTCCACTTGCAAGAATTACTCTCCTGCCCCTTTCTTACATCCTTGCTCTGCAAACTAAAATCTTTCAAGCTCACCTGACTAATTTTCACAACGAGCATGAGAAAGAGGCCCAGGAAACTCAGGAAACGTGTCAAAGGTCTAGAGTAGACTCAGACCTATTCCTGGTGCAAGTATCAGATCTTTGCTCCACAGGGCAATCCTGTTCCATCCTCAAGCCTGCCTAGGTATCTGGAGGAAATGGAATGCTGGCCTCATTGAAATGAAACACACAGTGTCTTGCAGGACCATCGCTGAGCTTTTACATTTAAAAGAGCCTATGAGGGGCTAGGGTGTAGCTAAATTGGTAGGTAGTGTGCTTGCTTAGGCTACACAAGCACCACACAAAACCAGGTGTGGTGGCCCAGGCCTGAGTCCAGGAAATGAAGGAAGGGGGAATCAGGAGTTCAAGGTCATCCTTGGCTACCTCATGATTTTGAGGCCAGCCTGGGCTACAGTGAGATGAGATGAGAGAGACAGAGACACAGAGAGAGTGTCCACAATGTTATTGCTGTTTCATAGAAAAACCCATGTGTGTGGGAGTTCTAGACAAGAGTTTCTCTGTAGTTTTGGAGCCTGTCCTGGAACTCGCTCTGTAGACCAGGCTTACCTTGAACTGACAGAGATCCACCTGCCTCTGCCTCCCAAGTGCCAGCATCAAAGGTGTGTGCTACCACTGCTCAACAGATTTATTCATTTGTGTGTGTGTGTGTGTGTGTGTGTGTGTGTGTGTGTGTACCTGTGTGAGTTTATGTTCACCATGTGTGTGCAGGCTGCCAGAGGGGCAAAGGGCATCAGATCTCCCTGGAATTGGAATTACAGGTGGTTGTGGTGCCATATGGGTGCTGGGAACTGTACCCAGGTCCTCTGCCAGAAGACACAGTGCTCCAACCACTTAACCATATCTGATTCCCCCATACCCCCTTTTAAACAGACAAAACAAGACAGGGGTTTTTGTAACTGAACTCAAGTCCTCATACTTACAAAGCGAGCTGTTTACTAACTCAGTCCTCTCCCCACCCCAAGCTCCTTTCTGGCAACATCAACACTGTTGCTATGGCAACATGTTGGCTGCTTCTCACATTCACTAGTTCTCATCCCCATCCCCAAACCCTCCAGGGAGAGCCTGTGACCTGGAGGATCTCGGAGACCTTCCCTTTCTAAGCCACAACAGGCCAGCTACTGTCCATGGAATGAGCTCCTGGATGCTGGACGTTCTTAAGTTGTAGTCTTTTCACAGCCCTGTGAGGTATGGGCTCAGCCCTTCCTGTGGTAGGGAAAACAAGGCAGTAACTGAGACAATAGCTCAGAGTCGCCCAACATCATGCCCAACACCACATGGCTTATCTCCGAGGAACTGGATTAAAACCCAGATCTGTTCAACTCCTCACAGGCTGGTCCTTCCTCTTGGAAGTATGGACCCCTTACTTACCATTTAAGGGTCATCACCTGTACCACTTATGTGCCAGGCCTGGGAGACACCCTGGGTGCTCCCCCCAAGGGATACAGATAATTTCTGCCAACCCAGACCCCAGATTTCTCCTCTTGCCCCTCCAAACCCCTCCTGTTATCCCACCTACCTCCCCACAGTGAGCCAGACCCTGGACCCCGGCTCCTATGTGACCCAGGTGGGGTATGCCAGCTCCTATGACCCAGGTGGGGTATGCCAGCTCCTATGCGACCCAGGCTCTCAAATGGCACCAGACGTTGTGCCTCTGGCTAAGCTTCCCTTTCTTCCCCTGTGGTTTATCACTTCCCCCCCACCTCTTTCCCATCAAGGCTCCCCTAAGCATCCCTCCTCCCCGGAGCCGTCCTGCTCCAGAGGGGGCTGACCCGTCTGGGAAAAATTCTCCTCCTGCCCCAGACACACCTGTCTTTGTCCACTGTCTCCATCTCAACCCCGGAATCCTCAGGTCTCAGTGTTCTTTCTACAAACCACAGTTTTAAGGGAACAAGCCCGCAAGGAAGGCCAGACCCATTTGGAGTTAGTTGCTGGATTAGACAAGGAGGAGATTCCAGCGGCAGACCTGGGGTGGGGTGGCAAAGACAGGCTTCACCCTCCCTTCACGGTACCTGACCCCACTTTTTTTTTTTAGCAACTTTCTGTGAGCTGTACCTCACATACCCCACAGTATGATTATTGATAGTCCACTTATTGGGCTGGCAAGATGGCTCAGTGTGCTGTGAGTCACACATACACATCAAATAAAATGTAATATGAACACACACAAGCACACCCACATGCATATGTATATGTATTTAAAAAAGCCTTTGACTTTAATTCCAGCACTCGGGAGGCAGAGGCAGGCAGATCTCTGTAGCCTGGCCTACAGAGTTAGTGCCAGGACAGGTTCCAAAACAATACAGAAAAACCCTATCTTGAAAGACAAATAGAGAGAGAGAGAGAGAGAGAGAGAGAGAGAGAGAGAGAGAGAGAGCGAGCGCACACTTGTCACTCTGGCTATTAGCACAGTCACTGGGTTGGATTCCTAGTTTTACCACATGACATTTATCTCAGCCCATAAAGGAATCCCAAATGCCTTGGCCATCATCAGCAGCTTTCCTGCTAGACTCCAGCCCTTGGGAACAATCTTTTTGGTGAACTTGCTGTCCTGAGATTTTTACAGAAACATGCTCATACAACTTAGTGTTCTCATGGTTCATCTATGTGATGGCAAACATCCACATGAAGCTTTCTTTAAAAAAAAAAAAGATATATTTTAAGGTGTGTCTGTGTTTGTATAAGTCTTTAATTGGGAACTGGTTTGTGTTGCAAAAGACTGCCTGATTTTAAAAAAAAAAAAAAAAAAAAGAAGGAATGAAAAAAAAAAAGCCTGATACACAGGGATTGAAGGTGTGTACAGGGATTGAAGGTGTGTGCCACTACATCTGGTTTTTGCTGACTGTCTTAGTCAATGTTCTATTGCTGTGAAGAGGCACCATGGCCACTGCAACTCTTACAAAAAGGGAGCATTTAATTGGGGCTTGCTTGTGGTTTCAGAGGTCTAGTCCATTGTCCTCATGGTGGAGGACATGGTGGCATGCAGGCAGACACGGTACTGGAGAAGAAGTTAAAGTTATACATTCGGGTCTGCAGGCTGCAGGAGGAGAGAGCCACTCAAACTGGCTTTGACTTTTGAAACCCCAAAGCCCACCCCCAGTGACTCATTTCCTCCAATAAGGCCACACCTCCTAGTCCCTCTCAAGTAGCATCATCTCTAATGACCAAGCCTCTGGGGGCCAACCTCACCCAAACCACCACAGTGATGAAAAGGTAGCTATACATCAAGGCATTTCTCAAACCATTGATGGAGACATCAGACAGGTGGGTCACAGCAAAGCAGGGGCCTGTCAGTGATTGGCCTGAGATGCTGTTTGATGACATTAGCAGCCCTTTCATTGGTGTACATTCCAAAAGGATTTATCTAATAGTCACATTCAGAAATGAGTAATAGGTGACTGCTTAGAGAGTCAAGATAGCCCAAAACCAATTTGGCTCCCAACTTGCAATAATCCAGTTTTTCTTTTCCTTCCTTCATTTTATTTATTTATTTTTGTTGGTTTTGTTTTCTTTTAGACAGGGTTTCTCTGTGTAGCTTTGGAATTGGTCCTGGAACTTGCTCTGTAGACCAGACAAGCCTCGAACTCACAGAGATCCGCCTGCCTCTCGGATAATCCAATTTCTCACAACCAATTAACCTCATACAATGTTTCGCACAGGTGTGGCTTTTCCCCAAATACGTTGATTGGAATGAGAATGTCTCCCCTTAGGCTACTATATGTGTGTCCTTGTTGGAGGTGGGTAATAGGAAAGGGCTTTGAGCCTCCCCCTCCTGTGGTCCACCCCGCCCCCCAAGATCATGGTGTAAAGCTCTCAGTGGCTTCCCTAGCACCGTGCTCCCTACCATGATCGTAATGGACTGATCCTCCGAAACTGTAAGCGAGCTCCCAATTAAGTGCTTTCTTTGAGTTTCCTTGGTCACAGCGTCTCTTCACAGCAATAGAACAGTTACTAAAACACCCAGGAACGTTTAGTTCACAGCTTTGATTTCACCTCCTGTTGAGCTAAAAGCCACTAGGGCCTTGAACACCTAATAGGTTATAAAAGAACAGAGGGTGGTGGAATGAGATTTCTCCAGAAGCCTCTGAAAGAGAACCTTCTGGGGTTAGCAGAGAAGAGGACATTCTGCTCAGAACATGACATACGAGGGCTGGAGGAGGGAGAGACACATTTTAAGCTGTCAATC